ATGACTATAAGAAAGCACACTGAGCGGTGATATTCTTAACCATTTTGTCGATGGGTTTCTATTTTAGAAAATTTTACACCTTAACCGTAGCAATTCAAGTTGAAGTAGATCAATTGTGCTTTCAAATGGTTCAAATGGTTGTGGACGGAATAGAAGAAACTTTCGCTTAACAGGCTTCCGTGTCAAGTAGCAGGGGATCACGAATAACTCTAGGCAGGAACCTACGTATGTTAACGATAAAAGAGGAAAAAGAAATTGGTAAATCGTGGTATGATACTATTCTTAGACCTTAAGAATAGATCAAGTTGCCTCTTAAAGGGCTCCTGAGATGTCTCTTGGACTAGTTCGGCCGGCAGCGAATCCCAGCATTTGACAACTCTTAAAGAGAAGTTGTGTCTACAGTCCGTTCTGCTATGTTGTATCTCCAATTTCTGGGTGTTACCACTTAGGTTTGTATTGGGACCAAGCTTAAGTAAGTGTTTAAGGGAATGTCCAGAAGTGTTAGCATACTGTAAGCCATCAGAAGGTCACCTCTAAAACGCCTATACTCTAATGGGTAAAGGTTAAGTGAATGAACGCGCCCTTCTTTAGGTTTAAATTTGAGTCCTCGAACTGATTTCGTGGCTCGCAGTTGGATACGCACCAGAGTGTCCTTGTCCTCTCGGAGTGAGGGAGGAAATACTATGCTTCCGTTCTTTAAATGGAGACAGATGAAACTGTCGAAGATCATATGGAAAGTTCTTCCATTAAAACTGGCCAAAAATGCACTCCAATGTTACCAGAGCAAGGTTTGCTTGGAAGGCATTTTTGTCAAAATTAGCGTAAGACTTTAAATCATAGGGCACCAGGACTCCAAAATCATTTTCGACTCAGGATACTACTAGAGAGGAGTTTCCCAATTTGTAACTATAGTCTACGACATGTCTCGGATGGATTACTTAACACGTTGAAGTGTTAAAGGTAAGTCCGCTATCGTCTACGCAACTTTGAAGTTGAGTCAGATCTTCCTGAAGCGCCTGTATATCGTCTTGGTTGCGTATCTCTCTTTAAAGTTTCACATCACCGGTAAAAAGTAATAAGTCTGACGTTACCTCTTGAGGGACGTCATTTGTATAAATCAAGAAGAGAAGAGGTCCTAGTACTGAGCCTTTGGGGACCCCACTAGGACATTCCATAGCCTGAGATAAAGTGAAATTAACCCTAACCTTAAAGTGTCGATTTTTTAGGTATGAAGTAAGCCAATCGATTAGAGGTGGTTTGATACCCAGTCGTTTGAGCTTGTTGGTAAGACACAAGTGGTTAGCCTTATCAAAAGCTTTTGAGAAATCAAGGTAAATGACATCAACCTTTCCCTTGCAATCGAGGATGCTTGTCCATCTGTCCACCGCAGTCAGCAGGTTGGTTGTACAAGAGTAATCCTTCTTGAAACCATGCTATCAGGGTGAATAGAAGTTTAAGATGATAAATAATCGTGTATACCGTCGCATGTCAAGGGCTCCATAATTTTCGAAGAAATAGAGAAAAGAGCTATCGGTTGGTAACTTGAAGGTTCGCTGCGTCGACCTCCTTTGAAAATTGGTTCGACGTGAGCCAGCATGCAATTTTCCGGTAGTTTTCCTCGGCTTAGCGAGTGTGAGAACATAACGCTAAGCGGCGTTCCCAGGATTAGGGCTGTTTCCTTCAGTATAGCAGAATGGACCATATCTGGACCGGGCGAAATGTCTTTTCTTAGGTGCTGCAGTTTCGGAACACCAAGTCAGCGCTCAGGTTTACTGCGGAAAGTCCTGTACAGTAGCAAATGAAGCTGTGATTAGTATAGTTGATGTGGGTCGCTTGAAATGTCCGAGAGTATTGTTCAACCAAAAGGTTAGCGGCATCGCCGTCGTTACTGGTCGGGCCGTTAAGACTTAGCAGTTGGGACACTTCAGTTTCGGCTTGACGAAGAAAGGCTGGATAACGGAATAAGCTTTTCGGATTGGAGACAAATTTATCCATAAACTTTGTCTGGTACTGAAGCCTGTCTTCTCTTATAGCTTTCGTGCATATGTTCCTTATATGTTTTTATTGCCTGTACACTCCATTGTTGTCAGTTTATTTGTATTCTGCCCAACAGTGTCTTTTGTGGCATAGCAGGCGAAGAGTGCGGTTCTTGATGATTACAGGTTGTTTGTAGCTTTTGGGGACCGTTTGAGAAACTGACTGCTTTGTAGCACATGAGAGCGTGTGCAGTAAAAAGTCCCAATGACCATCCACATCGAGTTGAGGGTGAACATCCCAAACCACCTGTTGTAGATAGTTCTGCAGAGCTGACACGTTCAACCGTTTGAAATTCCAGTGCATGTTGTTGGTGGGATATCTTAGCTATAACGGCTATAACGGCGTGATCGCTTTTCCACAGGGGAGCCAAGATTGAGAGGTTGTCAATTATAAACTCCTCGTTTGTGAATACAGTCTAAACGCGAAGGTGTCTGACTGTTTCTCCAACGAGTTGCCAGCTTCACATTTTCTTATAATCCTAAATCCTAAATGAGGTTGAAGAACAGAGCTTCAGTTAAGTTTTAACCTCCAATATACGTATGTTCTGCAAACTCGAGTCCAGGGAAATTGGAGTCCCCTAGAATCAGGATATGAGTGAAACCGAGAAGAGTAGAGCAGTATAGTCCTTCCAGCATACGACTGTCATACTCGATGTCGTCAGTGGGCTTCCTATATATGACTCCGACTAGGCACCTCGACGTAGTAGACAATCTTACAGAGCACCATATGGATCCCTCAAGATTGTTAAACTCGAGGTTATGAACCTGGTGTACTTCTAACCAAGATCGTATGTATACGGCAACTCCAGCCCCAATTCCAGTTTTTCTGTCATTGCGAAACAAAAACACTCCATGTATTACTAGCTCCTGGTCCAAGAACTGAGAAGATATCCAAGATTCAGATATTCCTATCAGATGAACCTTATTAACATTGTTAAGTTCACGTAACTCATCCATTTTGTTTGGTAGATTCACGTCTGTTGGGACATAATGCTCCCAGAATTGAAGCCGCCACGTGGGAGGATGGGAAAGTAAGTATCATTAGCCGGGGTCTAGAAACAATGTTCTTCTTGGACAGTCTCGTCACATGTTGAGTCAGTATGTTTTTGAGCTTGACGAACTTCCATTCCCCAATATCACAGTTTCCTTGAATAAGGTCCGTGTTTTCCAGTACACCTTGCACGATTATATTTTTTCCGCGGAAAAACCTCTTGCGAGATTCTTTAGGGGTGTTCCGGATGAGATAATAATAATTTCTGCGTGCGCAGGTACACGCCATTTTTACAGGCATGATCTATAAATTACAACACTTGTTGGTTCACAAAATGCTTCGCAACTTATTAAATATATCGGCCAGTATTCTTACGTCCCCATCGGATTTCAGTAAATGACTAGCTAGCAGGACATCCTCTACGTCGGCAGCATTCTTAAGTGTTGCACGAAGTAGCCTCAGGTGACTTTGAGGCCTAGATTCCTTTCACCGAGTGAGCCGTGTGATCGTCAAAGGCTTCATTCTAGGAAGTTCAAGCTTCTGGTTCAATTCATCCCAGAGCATCCTGTCATTTTTGTTCTGCAAACTGAGAGAAAGGTCAGGTTTGTCTAAGTTTCATGGTTATGAAAGAGTCATCACGAACCGTCATTGTTTTCCAAGGTTTTCCAATGAGTTCAGGTTCAGCACCTTGTTTTTTGGAGGTCAAAGCACGTTTCTGAACCCTAGGCTCTTTGATGACCAGACGGACATTCTTGGGGGTAGACTGTGCGACCGAATCTCCAGTTGATTTCCATACAACACTTGGAATGTTCAGCTTAGACGGTGACGCCTGGTTCTTTTTAGCTCTGTCAACGTGGGTACGATCACCTACAGAGTTTTTGGAAACCACTTCTGCATTCAAGGACCCTGAGCTGGGAGACCCGAGTTTACTGAGAGAGTCTATTACAGTCGACTTAATGATGGTGCTGAGTTTCAACATGTCATCATTAGTGGTTATGCATGCTCCATCGATTGTGGACCTGTCGACATCTTTATTCTTGTTTTTGTTACGCGCCTTTGTTTGTCTACCCTTTTAATGACTGTCTTTTTCCAAGTTTGCTGCCAACTTACTCCGCAGACCTGTCAATAGGATAATGATGTTACTCAACAGAACTACAGCATCCGTGCTGCACATAACACATTCCCACTTATGATCCGACTTGCTGAGTCTGTTGTAAGCAGTTGCTGTGAGATCTGTGCACGCTTCGTGGAACCAACCTTTGCAGTTTTCGCGCTGCATGCCAGATGTAACAACAAAACGGCATCCAGGCCGTTTGGATGAATTTTTCATGACTATATTGACACAAACTGTGTTGTAGATGCTAGCAAAAGCCTAAGACCGTAAAAATACACTAAAAAGCATACTAAAAACGAGCAAAAATGGATAAAAACGAATGAGACAAACTGAACTAGCCTTTAAGTGAAAGACTGAAAAATAAAACCGAATATTAAGCTGAGGCAAAACCACAGTTAACTATTAAATTGAGTGAAACTCGAAATAAGGTAATCTACCAAAAGTATAGCTCAGAATAGATTCTTTCGATCAGAAATGGTACTTTTGTTGCGTAAGAACACAGCAAAAGTTTGTTAGATGCAAATCACGTTAGGACTAAACTTCCCGTTCGAAAAGCGCTTTTGATGTAACGAATACACAAAATCAAAGTTAAATCACAGCAGGTACTAGATGATTGCCCATTTTGAAACACTTTTAATAAGGAAAGCGATCAACAACAGTTAGCAAATCACAAGCGTGAAATACAGATAATCTAATAATCGAAATTAGAAGTTAGTAGGGTACGGCTCAGTGCTGAAGTTGGGGCTTAACACGATCAGGTACTGAAAATTACCAAACGCCTGGAATATTATTGAAACAACAAAAAGCGAACGCAAAGAAACCAGTCGGTTCATAAAAGCTCGTCATAAAGATATTGGATGTTGTTGGAGTGGGCGTTATGAAAGTTGTGTGGTACCTGGCTAGGCGTGTAGTCATGTGATAGTACTGACAGATGAAACATAACAGCATCTCCAGGATAGAAGCTTCAGAGTAATATGATTTACAAGCTAAATACTAAGTATCGTTCTTAGTTTAGGCGTCACAGCCTCGAAGAGAAGATTCCTTCCAAATATATCCAAGGCCTTAAATAAATCTCGTCAAAATGACACGTAAGTGCTGTCAGTGTTGTCATGGTTGCTTTCTCTCTGCTGCAATTTGAAAAATTTGCTGAATAGTTCACACTTCGTCGTCATGTGCCCATGTATTTGTTTCGTGAGTATGCTTTGTGTAAAAGATGCAGTTTAGCTTGCTGTAAAAAATCGACAAAGCATTGATTTCTGCTTCCCAATATAGCGTAAATGGTTTCACACCTCTTTTACCATGACACTAGTGACTTTTTGAACCAAGGTTGTCCTTTCATTTATGCTGCTTATGGTAAGTCTGATTTCCAGCGCTAACTGGTCTCAATTTCTGACTCCAATTGATAATCCCATTTTGACCGTATTAAGTGGTTAGGGTTTGTCAAGGATACCTTGTATCACCCAAATGTTCATAGACCATACTCCCGCCAATTTGCGAAATAAACGCAGTACATCTTAAATTCCAGTACTTATATATGTCTTCCTATTCCCATTTTGGACTCTATGCTCAGTGTTTAATCGCTACTGTCATTGCTACAACATGAGATTTATTTTATTATGCATCTTCTTTCTCTCAAACTGGTGTCATTAGGATGAGTGGAAAATAGTAATTGCTGTTGGATTTATAGCCTTACTGATGGCAATTGTAGATCTTGCTAAAATATAGTCCTTAAAGATTTATTTATTTATTTATTTGAACACATGAATATTGGTACAAGAGAGCGCCAATATATATGCGCCACACAAAACAATGAGAATTCGAAGAGAAATAGAAAAAAAAGCTAAGGAGCGCAAAAAAAGAGAACAATAACGAGGAGATTGGTGTAAGGTAGTATGGTAGAAATGAGGGAACGGAAAGGGACAGTCAGAAGAAATCTTTCAGGTAAGTGAGACACAACCACTTTTTATGAAGAAAGTAAAAGAAGGTTACAGCAGGATCGCCACTGGCTTCTATTCTGAGCCATATCTGATAACGTCTCTAGCCACTGTGTAGCACCATCTCTCAGACCCCAACCAGGGAGTCGTGAAGGACTAACAGAAGCCAGTTCTTTGCAGCTTTCTTTCATGCCACGACACCATGTCATGCACTGACCACCTCTCCGCTTCTTCCAGCCAGTCCCAGAGTCGTCAAATAATGCACGACGTGGAATTCCCCCTAATGCCCTGGTACGGCCGAGAGTGGGGAGAGTCCGCTCTCCCTCTCGAAATACTCTCACACGACCGCGCGTATACAGCCTCTGCCAGGGATGTCCTTCTCGTGGCGGGGGTGTTGTTTACGAAAATGAGAGGACGAAAAGCGAATGTCCGGCGCTTTAACCGGATTCAAAACCAATGGTGCACATGGGCTCCAGTATCCTGCGGGAACAAATGGCGTATGAACCAATCGTTAGTCACCGGCTACCATGGGATTGCGTCTCCTTACGGTGCTCCACTGCCTTGTGGGTTAGACCTTTACGTCAAAGGCTCGGGGTGTGGCCCCCTAAGATAACCACCTGCTTCGGTTTGGGCACCCGGGCAGTATCACAGCCCACACACAAATGATGAACTCTCTATGCCTATGAAAATTACTTTTCTTGCTTCCTTAAAGATGCACCATGCTAAACAAAATGATAAGGCTGTTGATAAATATAAATGAGGCCGGTCATAAAATCAGTAAACAGATAATCAAGAGCAGTGTTTTATGAGTAATATGGTCTAATTAAACAAAAATGGGAACGTTAAAGCTTTCGTTTACTTGGTTAGATCCACATTTTAATCAAAATTATGGTGGGCTTACCACCGACTTATGTGATCTTAGTTCAGCTATTAAGAAAACTTTCGAGCCTTTGTTTGTGACTCGGCACGATTCTTTGTGTTGTTTGTCGTAGAATTCCAAGCACAGATCTTGCTTCACTTTTGACTTGCCCTGGTCCTCTTTTTTCCTATACCACTTTTGTTTTTGCCTCCTTTTAGTACTAATAGATGTCCAAGGCAAGATGTCCCCAAAACTCGTCCAGAACCAAGGTCAACTAGGTCCTATCAAAACGATACTCAGCGTTCGGGATGCCAAAGTACAAGACCACAATTTGTTCACAGTTATTCAATCTTTGAAACTGGAATAGGCTGTATCACTAAACCAGATAGGAATACTGTTGAGCTATGTAAGTAACCAGAGTTAGAGTTCTTTTTCAAACTGAAATAAGTTGATCACTTATCCGTCAATTATTCATCGAGCAAGGCACTACGACTTCATTACTTAGAGGTATCTAAAATTTGTTTATTCCTTCCAAACCTTAACTCGTTTTGAAGTCAGTCGTAATTTTTTTGTAGCATTGGCTTATCTGAGTTGGGTAGTTTAGTTGCAAAGTATTCATAATCCTCCTGTATATCACCCGAGTCACTCCAACCAGTTGCGGTTATCAAACTGGTTCTAATCAGGCACCTTCCTGCTCGGTTAAATCCAGCAAACACTGACTTGATGAACTAATCCGATGTTTTCATTCGCGTTCTCGTAGCCTTCTGATTTACTCTTATGCTAGCAACTGTTTGACCTCTGGACAAGCGGTTGTATATCGATGGTGGTTTCTGAATTTTGACTGAAAACATTTACTCATTGCGTTATTTCCAAGTGTTTGGCTGTATCAAATCATAGATTCGGTTAAAATAATGAATACTTCAGATTTTAACTCAACTAAGTGTTAATTGTTGTCGTTATATGTATATGGTTCCGACATCAGAATTGTCATTATTAATATATGGCTCATCACTTTTTGACCTAGTTAAATTCCTTTCAACAATCACTACTCTGCAACACTTCATATATTTTTCCGGGTAGCTGTTGAATTATTATGATCACAGAGTAGCTTAATCACTTCATGAGGCGTGTCATTCATTAATAGGGTCAATATGCTTAAACAACTGATAAGACTGAAGGCTAAAAGCATCCATCTTATCCATTTTCCACCACCAGCTCATATCTGAGTACAGCGATACAAGTTCGAATAACATTATGGTTTTTGGGATGACCCCATCAGATCCTAGACTTATTTAAAGCAATTGTTGTACAAAGTCATTCTGTGTTAAAAGCTGTAACGTTTTGGCGTCAATTTTAAGGAATTTCTCTGTCAAAATTTGTGGTATCTGGTTGTCATTAGTAATTAAATTTTTTCAATCAGGTAGATGTGTGGGTGTAGTGAACAGAACACGAGTGGGGACAATCGAGTGTATTTAACACAAAATTACAGGACTTGTTAATAAAATCTAACAATCATAAAGTAAATGCTTAATTTGCAAAATGTCTACCAGTTGTCTCAAAATGACTCAGACTTGTTCTTGCATTTTCATACAAATCGAATCCTGTTTCCATTCTTTACTGTTCGATCCTCTTGTCTCTCTGCTGCCAGACCTTCTGTCCACGACTAACACCATTTACTACTTATGCCAATATAAGTAGCACACACCACACGGGTAATAGGCCACGTGGTGCTTGAAATGATCAGGAAAGTTTTTACTAGGCGTGTTTAGTGCCGTAGTCACTTAAATTGCTCGTTTAAACAAGGTTTTTTTAATATGTCATTACGCATAAAATGTTTTTGAAAGAGAAGACATTTGTCTGTCCGTATTTTTGTGGCACATAACACTTTTAGTAAGTTATACTCATTACTTTCATGAAATTTCCGCTGTATACTTTTTTCTGTAAGGTTTCTTGCATCTTGTTACAGGTGAAACAAAAGAAGCTGTTTTGCCACAGACTGAGGCCATGGAGTTTGCTGAAACAGAATCCAACTTAAATCCTCTCAATCAATGTGAAGCATTTGTAACAGATATTAAACAATTATTTAAAAATCCTCCAATTATAATGCATGATTCTGCTGCTGGTCAAGAGTTTGATTTAGGTAAAATTAATTTCATGTACGCCATTTCTTGTGCTTGTAGTGGAATCCTAGTCAATCAGTAATTTTTGTAGACGTTCTACAGTTTTACCTGTGTACGGTAATTAAAATAGCTTTAAAACAAAATCATTTTCTGTTGTATTGAATGAAGATTATACGATAATCATTTTTGAGGTAGGAAATACGTTTTACTGAGGGAACAATTAAGAAACCAAAGTACAATAACTACTAATGAGTTTCTAAATCGTAACCCGGAGATGAGTTTGTATTATGTGATGACTTATTTTCTTCTATGAACATTATTATAAAGTTCGACAGGTTGGCCAATTCTAATTAAGGGAACAAGAAACGTCCACAATGAAATGTGTGTAAATTGGGACGATTTATTCATTTAGATGGTGATGGTCCAACCTTATGTCAGTATTACTGATCACTTATTGGAACAAAATGAAGCAATGCATAACAACTTTCTGTTTATGGTGACAAATATAGTAAAATGATTTCAGCAAAGTATTCGAAGGTTCTCTTCGGAAAACTGATCCAACTTCTAGGCTTATTTTCATAAGTACGAGGAACTTTTCGAACAGTTCTAGTAATGAAAATAAAATGGAGTTCCAGTAATGATAAGTTGAAAAGCTGTCATTTAATCCTTCAACATGTTTTTAGTCACTCCAAGCTAGAGCGTTTCCGCTTTTTTATGTAGATATTCATTAGATGTTTATACTAGGAAGTCTTAGTTATCTCGCTCTGAAAACGATTAATGACAATTCAAATGGTATATTTTATACTGTCCTGTTAATTTAATTCAGTCGTAATTCATCTAACATTTTATTATATAGAGGTAGAGGTGATCATAAAATATTGAAAGATTTCATTTTTAGTTCATTTTGAGAATCAGGAATTTCTGTTTCGTTCTGTGATGTCTACATCTTGATTTGAAATAAATTGAACAGATATTTTCCAATGATAACTAGTCTTCATAAATACAACATCGAAATACATTTTATAACTTTCTGTTAATGCTTATGTAACTACAAATCATAACAGTACTACCATAATAGTTTATTATGTAGATGTATTCTCGGATATGCACTTTTCCTATTGATTGGGAGAAGAAGAGCTATTCAGTTTGATTTTCGTCAAATACTTGTTTTGAATGAATATGTAGATGAATGCTTAATTTTAATTATTCATTGATAATTTTTAAATTCTGAACGCACTTAAATAACATATTAAGAAAGATTAGAATCACTAAATATTTTAGACTATAGTAATACTGAATTAAAACAACACATAAAAGCCGACAATATCGTTTTCAGTTAGAACTTCATCAAACTTCGCTCTAATATACATAAATATTTATAGGAAAATATTCAACCAATCAAGGCACACTTCTCGTTTTAATAGTGTTCTGGTTATTTTAAAGACTGTTTATCAACGTTTAACCTACTTTTTGTGTTGAACGATTCACTAGAACTTTCTTGTACTTGTTACTACTAGTACACCTGTCTTCTTAATATCAATTTGTACTTTTTACGTCTTCTGTGTATTTATGCAATATATTTCATTGTGATCATTGACTCACAAATTGTCTTGATTGGTTTGATATTTTCATGTAAATATCCACGTATATTAGAGGAAATTCTGACGACAATTAATTAAAAATCATATTGCTCGCTTTTATGTGCCTTTGTAATCTTCACAATGAAAATCTTTAATACTGAATCGAAAAGTACCAAGGCATCAACTTGGTTGAATTCCTTTATGTAGCGAAAATCTTGTCAGTACTTAAAAACCTATTAGTCATACACAGACTAGTAGTTTGTATAATTGCATTTTTAATTACCTTTCACCGTCCATTCAGCTACGAGGTTATTTAATAGTTAACCAAGTTTAAATTTAGCTATAAGTAAGTTGTATTTTGTAGAATAGCGTTGTTCATCATGTTGGATACTTCAATATTACTTTCCTAATTACTGTACCTTCGCTGGTTGGCAGTGAGACAAAAAGCTTATGCGTATAATTCGCGGTGACAGTATATGAACCTAGTCACGACTGAACTCCGCATGTAGCTCTTCTAGAGCTTCTTCTTCTAGAATTCCTCTAAAGGAGGAGAGTTAACATGGGGTCGGCAACCCCATTCCGAAGAAAAAAACCTTGCTGAAAAAAACTAACCAGAATAAGCAAATTAAACCATTTAAATTCTGCCCTGGGAGTTGAGGGAAGAATTATAACGCCTCATGATGAAAGCCGAGGTTCTTCGGAAGTCACGAGGCCGATACCCCTTCTAACAACTAAAGCAACAATTTTTATTGGTACATGGAACGTCCGGACAATGTAGGAGATCGGGAGGACCAGTCAAATGGCAACGGAAATGAGGAGATACAACTTGTCGGTCCTTGGAATTAGCAAAACTCATTGAACCTAAGCTGTACAGCAAAGGTTAGATTCGGGAGAGATGCTGCTTTACTGTAGTCACGAGGAAGAAAATGCTTCACACACTCAGGCAGTTACTCTGATGCTGTCCAAAGAAGCACGCGATGCACTTATAGGATGAGAATCTGATGGACCCAGGATCGTCAAAGCATCTTTCAAAACGAAGGAGGGGATCAATTATTGTTGTCCAGTGTTAGAACCCGCCAATGATAGCAAGGACGACGATAAAAATCAGTTTTGCGAGAGGCTGCGATCGATCATGGTGAAGTGCTCAGGAAACGAATTAACCATTCTGATAGGAAGCCTAAAGGACAAAGTTGGAATGAACAATGCAGGCTGTGAAGATATCATGAAATGTCATGAACTGACTGGGAGAAAGGAACGAGAATGGTGACAGATTTGCACTTTTTTGTTAATTCAATGGCCATCAGACAAATCAAGAGCGGGAAAGCAGCAGGACCTGACATCATACCAGCTGAAGCACTGAAGTCAGACACAGAAGCAACTGCAAACATGCCCCACGTTCTATTTAGAAGATTTGGGAGGAGAAACAAGTGCCGATAGACTGAAAAGAAGGATACCTTATCAAAATACCAAAGAAAGGAGATCTCAGCTAGTGTGAAAACTACAGTCATCACACTACTATTGGTACCAGGAAAAGTTTTCGACAGTGTTTCTGAACCGGATGGAAGACTCAGTAGACGTCCAACTTCGAGATCAACAGACTAGATTCCATAAGGACTGATTGTGCACAGATCAAATCGCGACTCTACGGATCATTGTTAAGTAATCAGTTGAAAAAAGCTGATCACTATACATCAAAGGCTGTTAATAGCTGATAAATAACGGCACAAAAAATCCTCGATAATATGTTACGTGTGCGCGAAAACCCATGGTGTAACAACCTGACTGTGCCGGTACGAGTATCTAGACATTTCTAAATTCCCTGTGACACGACTCCATTTCTAAACCATCGTTGATCATTTACCATGTCCGATAATGATTGACTACTGGTCTCTGGAAACAAAGATTCAAGTGATATAAGTAGAATTTAAAAAATGGGTTTACAGAAGCTCCATTCTTTGTTGTCTAAAAATAACTGTGAGTCCCATTATTTTTTTTCTGAACTGTTGTGGAGAGTCCTTGATTACAGATTCGTGTACAGCGACAAACCAACCTTGAAAATAAACAGTTCTGCAATTCTTTGACATTGCTACTTGCCCCGTCAGTCGTACTAGATACATCCTAGTTAAAGGCTCTGTAGGCATCAGATCACTATTGAGTTCACCGTGCACGCAACCTTAGCGAAAGCTAGCCAGTTTAGATAATATACTTCTGAAAAAACAAACCATCTTTGAACCCTTTTTATTCTCTACATGTTGGTTGACTGGTTTTTGGAGCTGAGACTATAAATTTGTTACGGACATTAGCATTGTCCAACACTGAATATCCGTGATTTTGTGTATAATTCACATATTGGGCTCTGAGGTTTGAAAAAAAACTGAATATTAAACAACAAAAGTATTGTTAGGGGGGCTAGAAAATACATTCTTCTTCTAGTATCTATTGATGAATAAATAATGATCGAAGGATATGGACCCAAGTACAATGTGCATCCTACTCATTGTTCTCAATATCTTCATTCGCTCATTCAACTTATTTCTGGCTCCAAATGATACCAATATTTATTTCAGCTCTAACTCCAACTTCCTTAATTTATCACCTTATTTGCATGACTTTTACGAACCGTTTGAAATTTATTTTGCTTGGACTTTGAAATGTGTTAAGTAATCAGTTGAAAAAAGCTGATCATCATACATCAACTTCTTTTACTATGATAAAGCATTTAACAGAGTGAGTAGGAGGATCTCATGGTGTACCTTGTGAGATCATCAGGATTATACAGGATTCATACGACAGTCTACACAGCAACGTCGTGCATGGAGGACAGCTGACAGATTCATTCCAACTGAGGACCGGAGTAAGACAAGGCTGCTTACTCTCTCTCTTTCTCTTCTGGTGGTTGACTGGATTATGAAGACCACATCTGAAAGGAAGCACGGAATACAATGAACAGCTTGCATGCAACTAGACGATTTGGACTTCGCAGATGACCCAACTCTTCTATCCTATATATACCAACAAATATTGGTGAAGACAGTGTAGCAGCAGTAGACCTCGACACACACAAGGGAAAAAGCAAGATTCTCAAACACAACACTGAGAACACCGACACAATCACAGATGATGGAGAAGCTCTGTAAGAGATGAAAACTTCCACGTACCTGGACAGCTTCATCCATGAACAAGGATGATCGGATGCAGATGTAAAGGTAAGGATTAGCAAAACAAGGACCGCATTCCTACAATTGAAGAACATATGAAACGCAAAATGACTGTTATCCAATATCAAAGTCAGAATCTTCAATACGAACGTCAAGACAGTTCTACTGTATGTAGCTAAAACTTGGAGAACTACATCATCAAGAAAGTGCAGGTAATTATAAACAATTGTCTGTTGACCTGATACCATCAGCAACAGCCTACTGTGAGAGGGAACAAACCAGCTTCTAGGAAAAGACGTTCGAGGTGGACAGGAACACATTACAGAAATCAAACTGTATCACGAAGCAAGCGCTAACTTAAAATCCTGAAGGGAAAAGGAAAAGTAGCAAAATAAAGAACACATTGTGGAGGGAATTGAAAGCAGACACTAAAAGGATGAATAGCAACTGGAAAGGGTTGTCCAGGACGGAGTTGGATGGAGAATGCTGGTGGGCGGCCTATACTCCTCCACGAGAGTTGGTAGGCTTAAGTAAGTAATTACGCCTGAAGAGATGATGGACGATACTCATGGATTCAGAGATCGCTTGTTGTCATAATTGTTAAATTCGATCTAAGATATTTTTTTCATCTGATCTAGCCATTATAAACGGACAAGTATTCAAACCGGTTTAAACAAGAGAAATTAACTAGATTCTATATAAATAAATTGAAAACGTTGAAAATTTTAAAAATCAGTTGGTAAAATAAGTAAAAACGAACCAGTAGTACGTCGATACTGTTAGCCATAATAATAGATGAACAGTTTAATAGCGAAAAGTTCAAATGTTTAACGTTCCATATATGATATTTGTTCATCAAAGTTTATTTGGTACTTTTAATATTTAGTCATTTTTTCCCATTAAAATATACTTTCGCTACTTACATTTAGATCCTTTTAGAGATTTGGATTTATCTGATGGATGGAGTTCTAAATTTCCGTTTGATTTATTCTCCGATGTTACTACTTCAGGCAGACTATTTACCTTACAACTACCAGATAAATTGTTACCACCGGTAAATGTTTATTATTGAAAATTATATTTGTTATACACAAGTTAAATATTATAATACAGAATCACATCATTCACTATTTTATAAGAAGTTATTGACATGTTTAGACCTAAATATGTTATTATTATCGTATGATATAGAAGTTTGATTTTTCATTTGATATATATTTCGTTATAGTTATTAAATTTGGAAAGACTTGGTTTCAAGTTAGAATACATCATTGGTTTCAGTTGTAAATATTCATTGAATATCTTGTCCATCGTATTTAATGTCATAATATTTAAGTCGTAAAATATGAACTTTGATTGGCTCAATAATTATATATATATATCGTCTCTCCGATCAGTTATGTTTAAATACCATATTCATCTGTTGGTGATGTGAATTTAAAATTGTACTCCAGTTCAGTAGATTAAACTTCATTTAAGAGTCAATAGATATGGTAGGAGTGGCGGAGCAGTCCAAGGCGCCCGACTCAAGAGTGTTTTTCTGAGTCTTCTAGTACACAACGTGAGCGTGGGCTCGAATTTCACCTTCGACACATACTTTGCCACCAAATGTCCTGATACGGTTGAGGGTGGGGGAAGTCCACTATCCTCGAAATACTCACATATTGCCACTGCCAAGGAAGTCTTACTCACTGCCTTCTCGCGGCGGGGGTGTTGTCTACGAAATTGGGAGCGCGCAAGGCGAATGTCAGGCGCTTCAACCCGGTCGGTGAACACAGAGGGTTCATTTAGGGGAGTTAGAAAACCCTGACTGCAAACTAGTAGTGCACATGGGCTCCAGGATCCTGAAGGAATAAATGGTGCATGAACCAATTGTTGGTCACCGGCTACCATGGGACTGCATCTCCTAACGTTGCTCCACTTCCTTGTGCGTCGGACCTTAAAGTCGAAGGCTCCAAGTGTGGCACCCAAGAAGACCACCTGCTTCGGTCTGGGCACCCGGGTAGTATTATAGTCCACACACAAATCAAATGACCTGTGTAGCGCATATGTATTCGATGCTACTTTGAACCAATATTTATGTGTTCAGATAAATAAATATGGTAGATGCTTAGTAAATTTGTACATAAAAACTAACCAATTTATAAAAATCTTCAAAACAATTAGTATTTACTATCAACGAAATGTGTGTCCAATAATTTAATTTCCTTGTGTTAATATAGTCAGCCAGCTTGAGATGATACATACCTGATTACACTATTATGTATTATAAAATTTGTTGATTCATTTATTTAATTGTCGTTGCTGACTAAATTTAATTTAATTTCAGGATAATGAGGAAATAAAAGAAGGTTTATTCGGGAAAATACAATTATTAGATAATCAAGTAGTTCGTCTAGTTGTTGGTGATGCTCGATTCAATTTATCTTGTCCACGTCCATTGCCTATAGCTTCTGTAAGCTTTGTTCAGCATTCACTTTTTCTATATGATTAAAAATATTATTGTTAATTAGTTCATTATTAAGCAGGATTAATTATTTATTTCATGAAGTTACAAAATAGAGTTTTGTTTATTGTATTAACTTAATGGGATAAACGTTACATTTTTTTTACCACAGTAAGTGACCAATAGATCACACTTTCAACCTCTCATAAATAAATATATGTGCCGAAAATATGCTGAAAAGAAACAATCTATTCTGTATGTACGAATAATGTAATTTGACTAATCCCTTAGTTGATTATTGGATGCCAAATGCATCTAGAATTAAACTTACCTATTTCTTCAGTAAATTAGTAAACATTTTCATATGTAGTAGAATAAGAAATAACATATTTTTAAAAACAATGGATAGAAGTGTGTAACATATTTTTACTATGCAACCTCTTATCAGTATTATTAATGTATTATATCACTTTGTCTATAAAATGAAGTGTAACAAGATACATGATTGAAGGCTATTTCGTAGATAACCAAATATAATTAAGCAATTTTCATTTGCAATTGAATGTTAAATTAATGTGAACCTGTAGTGACTTATTTTTATCACGAGAACACGATTGGTTTAATGAAAACAATTATTATTATAACCAATTGTACCAGTGACTGTTTAATATGCTCTTTGTTTAACTGTGCTAATGACAGCTATATTGTGCTTCCATTATTGTTCTTACACTTTGATTGTGACCTCGCACGAATCCGGTTACGTTCTGTAACCAAGCTTGTATCCTGGCACGATCTCGTTATCCTTTCGATACCACGAGATCGCCAGCGAATATATCTCGATTTGGTCCATTAACTGCCTCCTGACATTTGGCTTCCGGGGGATTTTATGGATATCCTGGCACGCGTTCTTTTGTAGTGGTGTTCATAGTCAATTTCGACTTGACTCCACGCTACAAACCTTTGTCTATTAAGTCGTATTTCTGGCGAGTAAACCAAGCTCATTTAAAAATATGACAAATGTATTTAGCGACTAAAATTTTTCTGAAGTTATATATGTGGGATACGTCTAGGTAAACAGTTATTTAAAGTAATAAATGTGTTGTGTGGTGTCCAATTCTGATCCTGGTGCACAAGTTTCCTATACGCGCCTAAACCAGTTAGTAAGTGGAGATGTCGAGTAAGATGGAATCATTTTATTCTTCAACCACTACCAGGAAAGTCTTACTCACTGCCTTCTCGCGGCGGGGGTGTTGTCTACGAAATTGAGAGCGCGCAAGGCGAATGTCAGGCGCTTCAACCCGGTCGGTGAACACAGAGGGTTCATTTAGGGGAGTTAGAAAACCCTGACTGCAAACTAGTAGTGCACATGGGCTCCAGGATCCTGAAGGAATAAATGGTGCATGAACCAATTGTTGGTCACCGGCTACCATGGGACTGCATCTCCTAACGTTGCTCCACTTCCTTGTGCGTCGGACCTTAAAGTCGAAGGCTCCAAGTGTGGCACCCAAGAAGACCACCTGCTTCGGTCTGGGCACCCGGGTAGTATTATAGTCCACACACAAATCAAATGAAATGACAATTACAACTGGAAATGCTATTTTTCAACTTATACAACAGCTCGCCTATGGTGGAAACCCTATCCTGTCCAAACGGTCTCGAGTTGCTGACTGGTCGAGAGTTGAGTGCTACCACCGAATACGAATACTGAAAAGTCTTTCTAAATCCACGTATACCATTCACACTGGCCTTCCTCAACGTTCGCACACTAATGAAGATCAGATAACAGATAGGGTTGGCTATGTCTTTAAAAAATCTCAACATCGATTTCTATTATCTACCCGAGATCCGTATTCAACACTCTAGTGAGGCACTACAAATTCGCTCTCCACCTATTGCTTCTAAAAGTTTGCTCTACGTGCATTTATTCGGGGGCCCTGTGGCATCTTCGTCTGACTTTGCTGGCGTTAGTGTTGCATTAAGCTCTAGGGCTGAGGCAGCACTGATCGACTGGATCCCCATTAACAATCGGTTATGTGCTGTTCGATCAGAAAGTTCCGTCAAAGTGCGAAGAAATCTGTATGAGAAGTGATATCTTTTCGTCATCTCCGCCTATGCTCCGACAGATTGCACCCCGGATGCGACCAAGAATGAGTTTTACCACCAGTTAACAGTTCTTCTACAGAAAGTTCGCTCGACAGATATTGTAGTACTAGTCGGAGATTTGAATGCTTAGGTCAAGCGTCTAGAAACAGAAAAAAGCCGTTTGGGTGGCCAATGTGGTCGGATCGATGTCAGTAAATTGGTTGCAGCCTCGGTTGCAAGTGAATATCAAACCGAGCTAGGTTCCAGGCTAGATATCATCCCACCGAAAAGTATAGATGAGCATTGGTTGCAATTGCACGACGCCATGGAATTAGTGAGTAAAGTAACTTGCGGCTTCGCTAAACGTCCCGATTATAAGCACCGAGTTTCTTTAGGCTCCTCACAACTCATTAAAGACCGTCGGTCAACTTCGGGTGGCCGCGAGTTTGACTATAAATGAAGAATTGCGTAAGGACCGAGAAGCCTGGCGGTGGGAGCGTGCCAATGAGTCGAAAGTAACAGCTGCATCTAATACTGCCGGAGGCTCCTTCAACTCATCTGAGTCACTGGCAGCAAGAAGTCTAGTGTGCGTAAAGCGATCTGTGAGGCTGATGGGATGCCAATCATTAACATCTATCGATGTCTTGGACGATGGCCAGAGTTCTTCCAAGGGCAGTTCAACTGGCCTGCTGCTCCGGCAACACCGATCAGACTGTCCTACCCTCCATGGCTGGTGACGACTGATCCACCAAATGAGGCGGAATAACACAAGGAACTCCAACTCTTGAAGCGACACAAATCACCAAACCCAGATGACTTACCTCTGTCTCTTTTTGAAGATGGCGGCGATTTTCTGGTTAAGGAACCGTCTGAGTTGTTCACAAAGGTTTGAGAACTAGACAGTGTTCCAACATCATGGAATGAGTCGTTAGTTGTCCCTATATCTAGCATGGGTTCATGTCGTTTCTGTAACATCTATCGGTGGATGAGTGTACTTCCGATAACGTCCAAACTGTTGGCTTCCGTCATACTTCGCAGATTGTTCAAAACCCGAGGAAATTCATTCACGAGGAGCAGGCTGGTTTTCGTTTTGGTCGAGGATGTATTGATTATTATTATATCATCGTCCAACAAATGTTAGAACCCCGTCATACTTATCACTAGGCCAACAATCGTAGTGCTGATTGACATCAGGGCTGCCTTCGATTCGTTGGACAGGACTGTTCTCTGGGGTTGTCTATTGAAGAAGGGTGTGCCTGAGAAGTTTATTAACATCCTAAAAGCCCTATAAACAGACACCTCAGGCAAAATGAGGGCATACAACCACCTCTCTCCATTGTTCCATTCAAGCAGTGGGGTTAGACAGGATTGCCCAATCTCACTATTCCTCCTCAACTTTGCTATCGATGACTTTCAGGAAATGGTTCTGATGGATGTAGGTGATGGTGGTGTAGATCTGTTGCCTGTAGAGACTTCTCGACTTTGAGTATGCGGATGACATTGTCTTATAGTGAGATAATGCCCAAGCCATTCAATCCTCACTTAGCCAGTTGACAAATTAGTGTCCGCAGGTACGGTGTGGGCTTTGGACCTTCGAAGTGCAAACTACTTCTACAAGACTGTCAGGATTCTAATCCTGTACTCACCCTGGGTGGTGAGCAGATAGAAGTAGTCGAGTAGTTTGTGTATCTAGGTAGCTGCATAAATGCCGGTGGTGGCATGAGTGATGAGATCGATTCACGTATAGTGAAGGCCAGAGTGGCTTATGCCAATCTGGGTCATCTTTGGCGCCTTCGTGATGTTAGTCTGGCTGTAACAGATCGGACCTACAACGCGTCAGTGAGAGCAGTTCTGCTCTATGATTGTGAAACCTGACCTCTCCGAGTTCAGGATGGTAGGCGATTCTTTGTGTTCGACCATCGTTGTCACCGAAGGATTGTTGACATCCAGCGGCAACACCATGTTAGCAATGCAGAGGTTTGTCATTGTCTGTTCGGACGCGGAGACGATAATCCATTTGGTGTCACCGTTTTGAAGCATCGACTTCGGTTGCTTGGACATGTCCTACGAATGTCGTCCCAGAGATAGAAGCCAGTGGCTATCCTGTTGTGACTTTGCTTTCTACATAGAAGTGCTAGTAATTTCTCTAATCGAAAGAATTTTTCCTGGTTTTATTTTGCTAACTGGACTGCCTCGCATTATTATTATTTCACTCTCATACACTAATTTTTGTTCGTTGTTGTCCTCCTTTTTCTTATAGGCACTTTACATTCTCCATCTATTCACATTCTCATTGTCATTGTGTGGCGCATATGTATTTGGTGTCCCTTTGTACCGATGTTTATATGTTCAACTAAATATATAAATCAGTCGAAATAACTGTACATCCGTTTAATTACATATATCTACCCCTTAGTAATTTAAGACATGTTTTCCCGCCGGTAGTTTGTTTCATTCCTTAGAAAAGAAATTCATCGCTCGGTCAGTCGCCGTGAGCTTATCGTTTAGCCGATATCTGAATGGCTCACTGTGTCACTAATTCTGTTTATTTTATTGTCATGTAGGCTTTATTCCAAATCTGCGGATTACTTTCGAGATACCATCTTCAATCTCTCTATCAATGGTATTTCAAAGAGAACCGACCGTACATTGTTAAATCACATCTATTTCGAAATAAAGCAGGTGTAACCAGTTAATATGTCTGCTTGATAACTATAAAATAACACCAGAAACTGCAAGGGATTATCTCGTACTGAGGCGCTAAATGAACACTATAAGTTGCAAAAGTAGTTTAATAATCATAAGTTTTATAGAGATAATTAAATCATTGAAGTACTCACTGCTCCAACATTAATGTTGAATTTGAAATTTTCAGTCGTTGGGCAATATGCCTTAATATTGAGTGCAATGAAACCTGAATCTCACACTTACGTACAACGAATTTGTTTATTATTTGGGAAGCCAATTTATTTTAGTTTCTTCCGTTTTTGTTGGCTTCCTATCTATGTGACAGTTGTTTTATAAAACAACTAATATGGTTCACAAATTGTTATCCAAAAGCGGATAAATTGCAGCGCTAACTAGTCTCGAGTACTTCTATATTTTCACTGTAGAACTTGTGTCCATTCATCAAATCTCTAATGTTTGTATCAGAAAGTTAATCTAGTGAAGCTTATAGATCTCAAGTTTATTCACTCAAGATGAAGAACTAACTTATTGTCAAAATATGTATTTGTCTGATCATTTTTTAAACATAAATATTTCGACTGAACCTCTATATCAAATTTTGATAATAAATGTCATCTCTGTAGTACGTCATAAAATTGACCCATGCAAAGTATCTCAGTTGCTTACATGGTAGCATGTTCGTTTTCACTGTTTTCTATTTTTCTCACCAACAGGATGTTGTACTTGTGAATCAGGATAATCCTGAGGTCATTTGTTTGGAGTGTATAGGTCATGTAGAACAAACTATGGCAGCCGTTCCTGACTTGGAAACTTATGTACAGTTGGGCAAATAAATTGTCAATCTACGTTAAAACTGTACATATAAGCATTCAATTAAGTGTACAAATAAATGTCTGCTGTTTATCATCTAGTATTGTTTTTAATTAATTTATTAAATGCCTTATTCAGTATATCATTGATTTGCCTTATAATTAGTACGAAAAGTTTCAGGTGAATTAATCTTCACTCTCTTCCTTTTCTGAATTTTGATTGTGTAATGATCAACACTTATAAACGTTGATGCTTCATATCAGGTTGGAAAATCGACCCTTAATTTGTAAAAGATGAACAAACCAAACGAGTGACTTTTAATTTCGAAGCTCGTGTCGTTAGACAACGTCTGCACGGGATTCAAATGCTGGTTTCTTATGGTCTCGGATTTGATCACTTTTACTCTAATGAGTCTACTAGGACAGTTCCCTTGTGCTACTGACCAACACTGACATATATTGTCGGAGAGTTATGAGGATCCACTGATCCAGCTAAGCTCTGATGGAAAAAATCCAACTGACACGTGCATGGTCAATCCTGAAGTCTACTATGTCGTTCTTAAGTTTGTTGTTAAGGTGCTACAAATATACCTCGAGTGATTATAAAGTCTAGAATCTTACGAAATGTAATGTTCAGACATATCCCTCTGGTGTCGTTAGTGTTCCAAGCTACTAAGATTATACATCGAGGTTTCAAATGTATTGTTAATATTCAAGTGAGTGACCGGATTACTGACCCAAATGAACTGATATTATAGACAAGGCGATAAGGTCACAATAACAGATCTTTTGTTAAATAATACAACATTCTTCCATACGGATGATTACGATAATAATAAACGACCAAAGCAAATCAGTTTTGCAGGACACTAATTAATGCTTGACCGTTAAACTTAATTCTTCGTCATATCAGTTAAGGAATTTAGAAATACTATAGACTGCTGAATTCAGTTTTAACATAGAAGTGTCAGTAGGTAACTAGATTGTTGTAAAACCAAAGAAAGTTTCGAGTCAAATGTTCTCTGAACTATAAGTGATTTGTAATTGAATATGTAGCATATCTGCCGTTAGTAACTTCAAATAATCTTAATTTCAAACTTATTAGTCATTTTAAAATAATTGGCTGCTAACGTATAGTAGATTGTTTAGCGTACAAATGAAAAGCATCGCGATAACGTGTGCTGTAGTTTTTCCTAGTAATATTATTACATCCAGTGTTTGTATTTCAGCCTTTTTGTCACTTAAATTCGAAGACATGGAATTCTAAAGATGAACTTTCCAAATAAATGGTCAAATCGTAGAGCCCACCAACTGCTATTTTGGTCAAAATTAATAAAGGCATTACTACAATGACCCTAGCAGCAGAATCCCATGGTTACTTAACATTTCATTTGTCAAACCGTTAATTTATAGTTAAACGTCACTGTTTATTAACGGCGTCATATTGTAGTATTCCGTCTTCTGATCATTTTTGTGAAACTAATAACTGAAATGGTACCTTTCGACTAATACGAACTTTCAATAAAGTTCCCAATATGAGCTGTGCGTTGATCAGATTCTTTACTAACACCCAAGGACTATTAATCTTATTTGAGATTATTGATTAGTAATTTAAAGTGGTGTAGTGTAAATGTGTACCAGTTCACACAACTGTGCGAAATTTTTCAATGCTGTGCAAGGCTACCAGTTTGCCACTTATGATGGACGGAGGCTATCGTCCAGTAAAACGTGAAAAAACCCTGTCTTATGCTTTCGCTAGGTTTTATTTATGTTTTTAAATGACACTCACCAAATACAGAATTATGTATAGGACTTTTGGTTACATCGAATGGCTCTCCAAAACGATGTAAACAGATGATTGTTTGATTCTGCACTCAAGCCATATTAAGTTTCCAATCATATAATTTAACTGACTAGACAATAAGTCGCGATAAGACAAACCCTTCGTAAATATTTAAGTACGTTTGGAAGATCAGACAGAAGGATGAATCGTGTTTAGTTTGTTGTTCATGTAATCTTGCTGGTGGTTAAGTTCGAAACTTTGTTTCGTGTCACACAAAACATCTGTTTAGCATAAAACGTTTATTTCTTAATTATTTTGTTTGTATAACCAAGCATTATGATTAACTTAAAAAGACTGCCTTTATAATTGTTCATTCTATTTCATATCTGACTAACATAGAATAAGTGAAATCAATTGGAATAATTTGTATTGAGTAGCTTTTTGCTTGGGTTAGGACGGTATGATTTCTCGTTTAGAGAGCTTGACAGTTATATTTTAAACTATTTGTAACAATACATTTGCCAGTTGACGGTGTATCAAAATTTACAATAAACACTCTGTTCAAACTTATTCCCGTTTAAAAGAATTCTTTGTAGAGAAAGTAGACACGATTATCATAAATATCATACGTCTATGTCAGATAATTAGTTTAATTATATAAGTAATTTTAAAAGTAATAGATTTTATTGAGAATGGAAACCAATGTATAACAGCCAGCTGAAAACCCTGAAATATTTACAAAAGGTTAATTTTATTATTTAGAAGAACAATAAACTTATAGTGATATTTTGTCCAGTACAATGGTAAGAAAATACAAAAGACCAGTTTTTTTACTATCTTTAAAGGTCTGCCAACAAGAATTGGGATTCTTTAGGTCCGTCTTCCTTATCTGAAAATCACAATTTGTAATTTAAGTAAAACACACAAATAAAATATATCAATAACTGTAACCAGATAAATCACCTAATGAAACTACTTAGATAGTGAAGTATTGGGTGAATTTTCGAGAGTAGAATAAGGACTATACCGAAAACTGAATTGAAAGTTGAAAAAAACCGCTAATAAGTGCGAAGTGTCAGTTTTCAATTTCCAAAAGTTACAATGGTTAAGTAGTGGTTTAAAAATTATTCTACTAGGTATAGAAAGATGGTTTTGTTACACTTAGATATTATTTGTATAATCGCATACTGGATAACCAGATAGACACTAGGAGAAAGCCTCAATGCTACTCCTCGTTTGAAAAGCAGCCGAAAAATGCAAGGCTAAACGAACAATTAGGTAAACCAACTTCAAATGTTGATTGTTTTTCTCCTAAAGTAACTTGAGTATGAGCTAAGTGTGCAGCTTGAAATTTTACCGATTTCTAACCAAGCAGATAATGATTATGAACTAATAAGAAAATCAGCACCATGCTCCCTTGATTTAAATTATGGAAGGTTACATATTAATTAATCGTCATATAAACCTTTGTAATCCCATCATATATAATGGTGCAAAAACAACACAACAGAAGGGTATGTGACTACTCGTTTGGAGGGATGAGAGAAGCCCGAAATATGAAGCTTGGGTGTTTTTAGTTGATGAGCGCTTTTTAACGATAAACGCCATGATATCTCAGAACACTTTTTTCTCATGAAATTAACAGCATTGCGAGGGGAGTAAGTAATATATATTTGACTGTTATTGATTCTGTAATAAGATTTAACAGTTGAGTTTTTATTTGTTTTAAAAGAATTTGTGACTACAACATCTATTCTGTAAAAAATGGAAAAGAAGTATCTTAACTTGCATATCATAGAAATAACACAATAGATAGTGAACTAGATTAGAATGTTTGTATGTGTTTACTCAGGGAATACAACCAGTGAGCAGTAAGAAAATTAAAAACTATTATTGTAGATTCTTAAATTTTAGTGAATTATTTATTAAGGATTCAAACATGCTTTACATTTATCCATACTCAGAAAAACAGCTGTTGAGTTTTTATACTTCCACAAGAGGAAAACTCAGGAAAGAACCAAGATCAGCTGTGAAAAGGTTGACGGAAGCCTTTTATTGACTGTATAAGGTCCTGACATTTGTAGGGACATCCCAGTAGACTGTAATCCAATAAATACTTAGTTATAGATGAAATACATACGCAGAGGTAAACATAGTACGAAAATATTCATCTAACATAGAATACATGTCGTAAACGGAAGAAAAATGACCACTAGAATCGGTATTCAGATAAAGAAAGACTGGTTTGATATAGCAACATAACTGCACTTCATTACAAAACAACGGTTGGGAACTTTAACGGCGTAACTACAGCAATGATTTAGTGGTTCAATGATACGAATTGAAATCGGATAATATTATGGCATTTTTTAATATACTAAAATATCAGATATTTGGTGAGAATAAGATATCTTCAGGTTCCAAAGTAATCAGTTATGAAGAATTTCTTGACTTGCAACGAAGTCTTCCATTGCCCACCTTGACATACGATGATGGCTGGTGTGGTAGAAGGTTATAAGAACATTATGAGACCAAACCAAGGCGTGGAATTAGTCGATGAAGACACTGACTGTTGAACAGGAGCGTACAGGTAGCTGCGGACTTCCTGGGTGGGATCTATAAAAGCATCATAACTAGTTGCTAGAGACCATGAGTAACATTGATTAGAATCTCTGACAATGGCACAGGCCCAAACAATTTGTTTTACCTTGGGTCCTAGGTTTTTTTTATTCCACCAATCCATATTTTCTTTTCAGATCACATTTTATCATTAACATTTCTATCACCACTAATACTACTACCATCTCGTAGTGCTAATGGGGTGTGGCAACTTGAAAAGATGCATATATATGCCAGGTCCAAAGTTGCGTATAACTTATAAATGACTGACTGTCCATTTGCGATGGTGGAACAAATGAGTAACAAAACATCACATTACAACCTACATATAACATCATTGGGATGTTTATGGCTATTATTAGATCAATTCCTCACTTCGATTAGAAACTATCTTGAGTTTGGAATATGAGGGACATTTGACCGAAAAGATTAGGGATTTGAAAACAATAACGATTCATCTCTAATTTCTACCAGTAGAATTCGATATATGATCCATTGAATTTGTATTTTAATGATTACATCACAGGTCCGTCAGTCAGCTACAACGCAGAACCAAGCACATATATGCATCGGTTCAAGCTGACATACCTCATTAGCACTACAAGATGAACACCAAAACATAGAAGCAGTTAATTCAATGATGGTAATATATAAAAGAAAGATCACGCGTTCTGTTCTCCGTTTTGTCTCCTCTTATTTAGGTATCTGCGTGACGTCATTGGTCCGTATATATTACAACATAGCTCGAAGATGAGTACACAACCGGTACTTGATAAATTAACCTTATGTGATAGTCAAACTTGGACATTGTATTAATCCAATCGAGCCATATTGGTCGGAACATTTGCTCCTCTATGTCCTATCATTCCAAGAAGATCAATTGGATAATGGTAAGACTAAAAGTAGCGAATCAAGATCCGAGGGCGAAGTCATACTGCTGATTGCACAGGGGTGTGACAGTAGTAAATTACTTTCCTCAAGTAACCGGCAACCACGGTAATGGTACCTTATCACGACGAAAAGGGGTCAGAAAAGGTCGATCCTCAGTATCACACCTCAATTTACCCAATAGATTTCCATCTTTAGCAACAGGACCCTTTCAAGAACTGAGCTAGCATGGAAACACAAAAATGCTACGCGATTGACCTCAAGCAGTTGTCCCTTGTGCTCTACAGTCACGCTCCCAGGTCGATAAGACTTCCACTAATCCAGTTACTTCGGTAAGAATTATTTTTTCACGATATGGGGAATCGGGAAATGGAAACCGCCATCATACTCTTGACAGAACAACGGATCAACTCAATTATGATCGAACCCCTCCATATCTTATGTTTAGGTCTGACCTTTAAAACTATAAAAAAACGCGACGGAAAATAATAAGCTGGACCGGAATATTTGGATAGAAACAGATAACTAAATGTTGAGCTCCTGTTTTTGTGTACTAAGAACATACAATTCCAATTCAATAATGTCTTTTACCGTCAAATTGATGGAGTAGCTATAGGTAGCCCTTTGGGCCCAATTCTGGCCGACATATTTATGGGAAGCCTGGAACAAAAAAAAAGCTTAGGCACGCAATCGATGGTACTATACTCTACTGTAGATATATTTATGATACATTTTTCGTCTGCAAAATCACAAGCACGCCATTAGACTACTCGATCTGTTTAGTAAAGCACACAAGGTTATAGAATTTACTATGGAACAGGAAGTCGAAGGCAAATTCCATTTCGTAGATATTCGAACCAGACAAACATCTGATGGCATATTACATAGACACATTCATCACAAAAATACTTGGAGTGGATTATATTTCAATTACTATAGTTTCTGTCCAATGAGTTACAAAAAGGGTATTGTACGAACACTTTTTGACCGCGCACGTAAAATTTTTCAAAGGAATGTCTGGATGACGAGATTGCTCTCATCACTAATTGTCTATGGGAAAATGCATATCCGATGAAATTCATCCATAAATATGCAAAAACCACTCCTCGGGCAAAGTATGGTAGAGTAGAAAAAACTTGCTTCTCATATTTACGTTTCAAAGGAGACGAAATTACTGAATTAATTAATCACAGATTAAATTCCGCGTTGAAAGTAGCCTACCCAGCAGCAAAACTGACGAAAGTATGGGAAACGAACTGCTGACTCAAACAAACTAAAATCGACAAGTCCTCTTTTCTCAGTAACTCCAACTACATTTACCAATTCACATGTACGTGCCATAGCACATACATTGGAAGAACTGAGAGAAGAGTGCATGTTCGCATTTCTGAGCATGTTCCGAAGAACTTGAGGCTGCGAGGGACCAAGGCTCTCAACAGTGCAATAACCCGGCATTTACTTGACACCGTTTATAGTATCGACATCCCACATGCTTTCAAAATTACCAACAGACAAAAAAGTGTGACTGCTCTCCGTTTCGCTGAAGCAATCGCGATAAAAAAACTTCTAAAAGAGACATTAATAAACTTATTATTACCCTGGTAATCCAATTTTGGTTATTTTATTCATTTATTTATTTTAAAATATTTATTTTGTGTTATATTCCTCCCTCATTACCTAATTCTAAAACCAACTTTTCATTCACACATTTCCGCCAACTGATCCTCTTAAATTATGTTAACTTTTCAAATTCTATTTAATTATTAAGTAACCTATCTTATCACTGTTTTAATTCCATGAATCCTTCATTACCTATAAAATTACCACACAATTTATGAACTCCACTAAACTATTACACCACCCATCCTGAATTATTCCCTTATTTCTAACACCAATTAGCCTCTGACCTGTTCTTGCATATATATATATATATATATATATATATATATATATATATATATATATATATATATATATATAGTTATTATTGTAAACCTGTCATTCCAGTTATTTACATTCATTTATGTCAATTGTTTCACACTATTTCTTATCTCAATGTACAATTCTATTACATATTTGGTTGTAAGCAGCTGACGAGAAACCTCGAAATATTATGAATACATACTCTTCAGCATCAATATTTGTTCTGGCTTTATTTGAGTTGGAATAAGTCAGCACGTTCAATAAACTAGTTCGAGTGATGAACTACACTTAAGCGTCTGACAAACATGGGAGTGTATTAGGTAGGCTTCAAAAAGTATTTACTTCAGAATACTTTACAGCTGTTTAACTGGCTGAATGACAGTTCCAAGTAAAAACCGATAATGAAACCAGTTTTAATCAAAAATCAGTAGCAGGGTTCGAAGGGAAATGATACTAGCTTAGTGTCTAAGTTGACACGGAAAAAAGTGTTTGAACCTGTCACTTAATAATTCGATATCCGATATTAAAGCTAATAAGCCACAGATTGACAAAAATCGTATCATCCAAGCACACAATAGTGCACTAGATGCATAGAGAAACGTTACATGGACTGTGAATGTTAGGAATGATCAGTGAGTTGAAACCACTGATTTATGTGATGTGGACCAAATATCCGGTCTTCTATACTACACACTACCATTAAATATTAAGGGAAATCTAAATATGGAGGTGAAAACAGCAACTTACTAAATGAGCAATATGAAACATTGTAAGGAAGGTCCCAAGGTAATATAGACAACCAGCATTTGCGTTAATTCCAACAGTGAGGAGACACGCTGTCATTCCCATGTGAAAAGCGCCCAAATATAATTTCGTTTTTTCTCCAAACAAAATTGCAGTTGATTTTACGCCTATACGGATGTCATCGTCAATATCCTAAAATAGAAACCCTCGTTACAGATTCAGCATAAAATAGCAAACTTTAAAGCAAGCTATGAGCACAAACCTGATGTGCATAGATTGTGTCGTATATAATTGTCCAATTGAAGCCACCAAAATAGAGAGGAATTGAAATCAGAGGGTCAACAGAACCTGTGACAGCAGAATAACCCAGCAAAGCACCCCAGTTGAATGTAAGACCTATACAGAACAAACAAACCTAATCTTTAAATTTCAGAATAAAAACAAAAAGGTGCTGCTGGTTTACTGGGCGACAAGTCAAAACACAAAACTAAGTATGCAGAATCGAAAAACTATGAGTCGACATATGAATATTCTTAAAATGCAGAAACTATTAGCGCGAAAAAGATTGAAGACAAATGCAAAACATCCTCACTTGATGAGAATATATGGTATCGTACGTGCATGTCCAACACACTGCAGCTAAATACAAAGGAGTGCACACGGAGAAAAGGCAAAAACCATTTATAGCAGAATACCCAAGCCAAACACCCCAGTTCAATGTTAAGCCTGTAACACCACATTGCAATAAACCAAGGTTAGAAAATTCTACACTGATTCTTACCAAGTACAAGCTGCGGCCAGTAAGTAATACGTTTAAACAGAGGATACGTGATGACAGGAACCAATGACAGGATACCAAGAAATACACTTCAGGAAATAACTAAAAAGCAATTCAAACCAACCTGTACCAGTTCAATTGCAATAATATTACAAGCGAAGTCGCTAGCTGAGCACCAAGAAACAATAAAGCCTGGGGAAAGGTTAGTGAACCCGAAGCTAGTGGACGATCCTTTGTGCGTTTGACAAGCATGTCGTATTTTTTATCCCACATATCATTTATTGTACAACCGGCACTTCGCATCAAAATGGAGCCAACGCCAAATAGGGTTAGCATATAAATGTCGGGTAAGTGACCCGGTGGTGCAGCTAGAGCAATGCTCCACGTGCAAGGAAGGTATAACAGCCACGTGCCTGTTGGTCTAGCGAATCGTCCAAGTTCAAAATATGACTTCAGTAACTGTGAGGATTTGCTTGGTTGAATTTTAGGTGTATTAACATAACAAGACGTGTAGAGAAAGCGAGTACATTTATCAGATCCAAATCGCGAGAAAATACGTAACATCTTGTCTGATCTATCGATGAAGTTTATTTAAATGCTTTAATGTAGTCTGTAGAGTCATGCTGCATTGAACCGGGAACTGAGCCCCCAAATGGATAAGCCAGAATTGTTCAAGAAGTTGAAGAATGAGACTATTACTGGGAATGGGATTTGCAATATAGAATAATAGACTGTAACCTACAAAGAATAGGAAAAAAAGTAGAGGATCGCACATAAGTTCAAATCGACTAGTTAAAAACCGCATGATAAGCACATTTAAGTGGTTACTTTTTTGGCATAGTAGACCAAAATTATCCGCCCGAACTACAAATCTCCATTTTAAAATTATGTTGTTTGTATTACAAAGCTGTCGGTGTAGCGAGAAGCCCCCAAATGCCCTGGTACGGCCTAGAGCGAGGAGAGTCCGCTCTCCCTCTCGAGACGCTCTCACATGGCCACGCGTATACAGCCTCTGCCAGGGAAGTCCTACTCACTACTTTCTCGTGGCCGGGGTGTTGTTTACGAAAATGAGAGGACGAAAAGCGAATGTCCGGCGCACAACTGGATTCCAAGCCAATGGTGCACATGGGCTCCAGTATCCTGCGGGAACAAATGGCGGATGAACCAGTCGTTGGTCACCGGCTTCCATGCGACTGTATCTCCTTACGATGCTCCACTGCCTTGTGGATCAGACCTTTAGGTCGAAGGCTCGGGGTGTGGCCCCCTAAGAAAACCACCTGCTTCGGTTTGGGCACCCGGGCAGTATCACAGCCCTCATACATATCGAATGAGATTTGTGTGGCGCATACGTAGTTGATGCCTCATTGTACCATTATCTATGTGTTCAAATAAAATAAAAGAAGAATGGACCACAAAATAGATTATTACTAATAAATAAAGATGGATAGGTTGCACAATCAACTGTGCCGAATTTCTTCAGCTGTCTTGTTATGCACTACTTTTTGAACTTCATTCCAACACGACGCAAAAACTAGTCTTAGGTATTAATTCTAGTTAGCATTAAGAGTGATAAAGTCGTACGAGAACCTGTAATCCAACAGTATGTAGATGTCGAAATTATCATGAGCGGTGATTTTAGTAGCGGGCATTTTAGAACATGAAGTCTTGAGTGTCGTGAATTATGAGCAGAGACTAAGTACCGAGAAAGGACGAACTGAAAGTTAGAAACATCCTTCTAGTATTGAGGAAAACCCTAAATTTCTCTAGCTCTGGAGATTTCCCCGAAATACCTTTAGACTTGAGAGAAAACCCCAGACTAAGGAAAATTTAGAGGTTCCTGTCGCATTTTCCGGATTTTTTAATGTTGCTTGCACAAAGTTTCCTCAGAATCAGAAGACCAGGCACTGTTATTCGACTGTAAAAGGTATGGAACCAATTCCAAATGTATTAAAATGGGTTCAAGGTTTACAATCAACACTTACACGATAAATATGCCAGAGTTTGAGCGACATCATCTGTACTGTGAATGATATCACTTAGGAATATCATTGAGAACCATTGAGCAACCAATGGTTAACTTAAGTCTGCGTCTTACTGTAGTTTTGTGGGCACGTATACTGGCGCCCGCAATCAACTATATATATATACATTTATTTATATAAAACAACCTTACCCAAGCTCCCAATTTTGGGGAAAACTTAGCACATTTTGGAGAAGCAGCTATAGTAAATTTCGGGGGAGTGGCACGAAAGCCCCCGAATTTCCCCGAAATTTGAGAGTTTCTCCAAAACAACACAAAAGTTCCTCAAAATTGGAAGCTCCCCAGGCTCCCAACTTTGGGGAAAATTTAGTCCATTTTGGGGAAATTTCGGGGAAATGAGAAAAAAAACCAAAATTTCCTCAAACTTTGAGGAAGGCTATTTCAATTTGGAGATTTCCTTGAAATTCCCCAAAATTTCCCCAAAGCTGGCATCTTGGGTCGGGTTAGGCTGTTTTACATACCACAATTGTCGCATGTATTCCTGTTTGATAAACCATTCACCACTTTATTTGACTATAAAGATTATCGGTTTATTTTATGCGTACAATTAGTAATAATGGAGTAATCTAGTTACTATAGTAATGTGACCAACCAGGTACGATGGCACGTTAGAGCTGTTCGAATCTTTCCGCCCTTTTGTTTCAACGACCTTGAACGGCCTGACTAGAGGCGGTCATTCCGTATTTCAATTGCCGTGGGTTGGTTGGATTGCATGCGTATCAAGTTTTTTCATATATAAATCATCTATGCTACATTAAAAAGCACGAAATAACTACCAAAGGCATTTATTTAATATTTTCTGTTTCGTAGTGTACACGTTGGCTCTGTTGTTGCTTCGTAATTTGATCTGTGATCCCATCTGCTGTAGTAAACCTCAACGAAATAATAAGTCACCGGTGAAACCTAAGTATTTTTAGTATTTCCTTGGGTTATTACTGTTACAAGTAATAACATTTTTATAGTTAATGATCTCTGTTTGTAGTGCTTCATGCTCTAAAAACATTTCAGTCGACCTTAGCGATGCCTTTCAAAGTATGATTGTGAACAAGCGTTTCGCGTGCTGAGATGACTTTGATAGCGCACTAAAAGAGTTCCAAAAATTATGGAAGAGTAATTTTATTGCTTCTCAGACTACCTACACTAGTTACATCTACACAGAAAGCAAGTTGCTGAAGAATGTTAGGTTCAAATACCTGTTTGTAACGTTTCACTGTACATTTGGTCATCAGCGGAAATCGGAAGGTTTGAAATTGAAGCAAAATCGTGAGACCTTTAACTAATATCTGATGTTGAAGGTCTAAATTCCGTAATTGCCAATCTAAGTTCCGTGTAAGACTAGAGGAGCAAGTATATGTCTTCAAATTCTCAACATGCTTCACAATCATCCATGTAGTAGTTCATGAATGGTTTGTGATCCATGGACAAGAAGATTGTCATCCGAAGAAAAAGAAAACTTGAAGCCAGTATTATTGCACTGTCAGTCAGCAGATGAAGTTGTAGAAAGTATTAAGGAAAGAACTGGTAAGCAGGTTACCGCTGCCGATGTCAAGCGATGAAAGGTGAATTTTCCACTGGTAAGTGTATAGAAATATATTTCAGGTTGCACTCCAAAGCAGGTAATGCACATGCTGCGACATAACGGTGAAGTTAGGGAACATGTAGAAAATGGATATATCACGAGAATATGCTTCAGCAGTTATGGCCAGATACGGTTGTACAATAAATATCCGGAAGTTCTGTGTATTGATTCTCCGCATGATACTAGTAATAAGAAGTGGTTATGTTTTTCCTTGTATTCCACTTTGTAGATATTCATTATTCCAGTTGGTTGTAACAGATAATTTTGGTCGAGGACGTACTCTAATGTTTGCGCGAACGCGAAAAGAAATGCGTGTAGATGTTACCTGGATTCTTGGTAAATGCGAAGAAATCGTGGTGAAGATGGCACAGGTATTCAGTGTTTGATAACGCTTTTACCAGTAACACCTAATATAACTCGTACCCACCAAGAGAAATCAAAGGACAGAATCGAGGAGATCAGAAGTCGTATTTGACGATTGCCAATATATCGGAATTGTCTGATCTAGTCTGGCTAGTGATTGCAGTAGATGTTGAGCACGGCATTACTACACGTGATCTGGTGAGGATGCATGACTGAGCGCCTTCAGCTAGGTGGGTCCACTAAAACATGTGGTCAGCATCCAATGTCGAAAACTTACAGAGCTATTTATTTTGGGGATTTATTTACCGCTACAATGGGAAACACAACAGGGACAGAAAAATTTGTTATGGACTGCGCGCGATCAGAAAGCGCGGCTGTCTGTACCACATACGGGCGTGCAAACATTATTCTGTGCGCTTTTCACGTAATTTGCGCTTTCCGTAAAAAGGTACACCACTGGTTACTTACGTACAAGTCCCCCTAGACACATGACAAGATACTGAGAACGTACCTGACCCGATTGGTAACTGAAGAAACGGTTGGAAGGTATTTTTTAAATGATTTTATTCAGTAGATTTATTCAATATTTCAGAATAATAAACCGGAGAGACAGAATGATAGACCATTACCTATCTCGTTTTTGGACGTCACGTAAAGCAATGTGGGCGTGTGCCTTTTACGGCAATGTTTCAACTTTGAGTAACAACACGAATAATCGTGTTGAGTCACTTAATCGACAGATAAAAAGATATTTACGCAAAAGTGATAGTCTGCACAAATGTATGTACCTACACGATTTATAATGTGAAACACTGAGTATAGTTGTTAAATTTAAATTTAAATATTTCATAAGGTAAATGAAAATGTCAATAGGCAATATATAACACAGTTATCGTAAACTTGTAAACTGGTTTTCCAAATGATCTTTCATCATCACAAATTCCCTAAGTTGTACACCGGCGTAAACATTATCACAAAGCATTGAGAACCTTAATAGCTTCATACATTTCTGAAAAACAAAAAAACAAACGTTCAAACTTAGTCAGCAGTATCGCATTCAATAAGTTAATCAAATAGAAGGTGACAGAATTTACCTATAAGTCTCTTATTTGCAAACAGTGCTATTCATCAGAGATTTCGGATCCTGTTAATAGAAATTCATCGGTAATCTGTAGAGCAGACACATCATAAGTAAGCGTTATTTACAATTTGCTGTAGTTACCATCATCACAACATACAGGCATCGATTGCTAGTTCATTTTTCGTCACGTATTTTGCATGAATTACTTTGGACTAGTCAGTCTGTAATGGAATAGGTATTGAAAAACCAACTCATTAATAGTTGTTAGTTGATTCTAGGGTTGTGTCATATCAAGGACTAGGAGCTTCAAATACCTATCATATAACTGTGAACGCTTCACAGTCTTATGACATGTGTTTATACCAAGTTTATGATGTAAATGAAATGTTAATGGTTTCACAGCACATATTGCCTTAAAACTCTGATTTCACTTTATTTATGAATTCGCTAGCAGGTGACGAATAACCTATAAGTTTCTCATTTCATATAAACAGCACTCTTCTGTTTCTAACCCTTCTGTTATTTCGCCTAGACACTTGGTATTAACAAAAAATTTGGTAAGCACAATTTAGATATTACTCGACAATATGTATTATAACTTTATTCATAATTTGGTCAGTGATTGAGGATTCCGTTTACAGAAACTTATTCGTAAATCCCATAACAGGCACATCATCAATCAGTATTAACTATGACATGGTTTTTTCACCACGCTCAAAAGAATCACGCATAGTTTTACTTATTAAGACTTTGTGACTACTTAATGTAGCACTTCCAGTGGTGTTATATACTGTTCCTGTATACGTTCAGAAAGTGGATGGAAAAGACTATCAACGTCAATTGTTACTCACATAATTCTTCTCAAATACGTTAAATAATAATAAGTCACTTCAGTACAAAACGATGATATTTATAATGGATATAACTGTTTATGGTTAAATATTAAGAGGGAACGAATTGAACGAAGAAATTTCTTTTCAATTAGTTTTTCATCATGGCTCTACACTAATATATATATATATATATATATATATATATATATATATATATGTTTTACAATAATAATATAATACTCATCGAGTAGATACGTTACGTAATAATTCCATTTAAATTAACATTGATTAATTGGAAGAAAGAGGATTATTATTATTCAAAGTGATCAGGAAGTTGCTACGTTGCGTAATGTAAGAAACAAAGAAGGAACAGAATTTTAACGGATGGCCAATAGGATGGTAGTTACGTAAGAATCAAGAGATGAATGTTGAGAAGTTGTTAGGTTAAAAGCAACAGAAATAAAATTACAAAAGTTAAAAAAAACAAGTGGAAGAAGTATGAAAAATAGTTCTTTTGAAGGAAGTCTTAAACTGATGGCCAGGGCAGAGAAAGTGGTTGTACGAATCTCTTTTGAATGCAAAGGTCAGGTTTGTGAACATGGATTGCGATGGCTTCCGCAATGTGCAAGAGGCGCACTCGTAAACCATGTGGCAAATTAGATGGGATATTGTAGATAATCTTAAAAGCTTCATTCAATTCGACTTGATGACCTGTGTCAACCAAGTGAGAGAGAATAGAACTTTTAATCACTTTTACTTGTCCTTTGTTTAACCACGACTGATGATGTTCAGTAATGCGATGACGGACTTGCCGAATTGTACGCCCTATATAACTGGCTCCACCGGAGCAGTTGAAACGATAGATACACATAGATTTGGCGAATTCAGGCAGTCTGTCTTTGTTGGCTGTTCTTACCTTGGGATAGTTGTAGAAGATTGCATTTAATCTGGCAGTATTAAATGTCTTTGTACGGCTCTTCTTAGTTTCTGAGTCAAGATTTTTTCAATGGTGTCATTTATGAATTGTAGTTTTATGAATAGTACCTTCTTATGGACGGTGGATATCTTTGTCCATGTTTTCTTCTCCATTATATGTTTGTCGATGAATTTCATGGGATACCCATTCACGCTAAGTAGGTTCCGAATGTTATTCAACTCTTCTTCGATGGTGTCTTCAGAGCAAATCATTCTAGGCCGATGTGTCAAGATCTTTATCAAGTTCCTTTTGTATCTGATTGGAACTGCACTATAGAAATGAGTTTTTTGTCCTGCTGCAGACTTTTTGTGTACCCCTCTTTTTAAAGTTCCGTCTGCTCTTCTTTTTAGTTGGACATCTAGAAATGATATGCTGTCGTTCTGTTCATCTTCTGATGTAAAATTAATTGATGGATGAACGTTATTAAATGTATTGTATTGTTACAAATAACCATATTAGACTTACTGAAGATTCACTTAGGTCGTGAGCGAGAATTAAGTCAATCTGCTGATAAATTGGAGCAACAATTTTTATTGTTACATGGAACGTCCGGACAATGTAGGAGATCGGGAGGACCAGTCAAATGGCAACGGAAATGAGGAGATACAACTTGTCGGTCCTTGGAATTAGCGAAACTCATTGAACCCAAGCTGTACAGCAAAGGTTAGATTCGGGAGAGATGCTGCTTTACTGTAGTCACGAGGAAGAAAATGCTTCACACACTCAGGCAGTTACTCTGATGCTGTCCAAAGAAGCACGCGATGCACTTATAGGATGAGAATCTGATGGACCCAGGATCGTCAAAGCATCTTTCAAAACGAAGGAGGGGATCAATTATTGTTGTCCAG